CACAGGCTGGCTAGAAGAAAAGAAAACAAATGGAAATGCTTCAGAAGAGTCACTAAAATATCTTCTTCCCCAAAGGTACAGTTATAGTGTGTCACATGCTTTTAGCTTTATAATTAGAGATCCAAATATTCTTTTAAAAGATAAAATTTGCATGTATGTGCACACACACACACACACACACACACACACAAATTTAAGCATTATTTGAAGACCAGCCTTAGGACAAATGTAAAAGAACAACAAAGTCAAGTTTTAAATTAGTGCACTTTATGAAAGGGGACAGAATTTTGTGGGAAAACAGATTTAAAAGATTGTGGTATTTTTTCCACAAAATTAAAAAATTAAAAAATCGAAGTTCTCTTATACCAATGTGTAATACTGTAGCATTGATTATATAAAGATGCTTAACATTTTTCAAAGAACATTTCCATGATCTTTTATCTCTATGTTTTCGTAAACTTTTTGAAGCCCACTGGTATAATAGAAATAAGAAGTTTAAATATGATTTTTAAATATCCTGTCCTTTCTACTATTAATTTAATAAATTTACGTGGTATATTTGGGCATTACAAACATCTCAACAATGGGAAAAGAATCCTTAACAGTCACATCATACAGATGTAACATATGTCCATCTCTACAGTGCAATAAAACTGTTATTAATGGAGTATAAAAATCCTGTATTAAGAAATTTATAATTTAGGAAATGAAATTTTAAAGGATATTTAGCTTAAAGGTATATTCATAGCCCAAACCCCAAATTCGTCAGAAATTTAGCACCATTGTGGCTACAAAATCAGTAATAGCAGGGTGATAGTTTACTATTAAGAAAGAAGTTACAAGGAAAGTATGGATCCATATTAGATTATAGAAGAAACAAGAGTAACTGTAAAAGAAATTCAAAATAATAAAAAGTAGTAACGTTTTATAAAATATTAGAGAGATCATAAACTTGTTGCAGTAGTCAATAAATTCAAATTTAATTCTTAGACGTGTTATAAAGGATTTTGAACACTGGTGAATCTCAAACAAATGAAAGCCCTATTGTTTTGACGATAACAAGACTACCTTTCCAAAGTCTATTCAAGAAATAAGACATACAAAGCCAGCTAAAAAGTACCTAAGAGCTCAGTGCTTTCCGTGACTGATAGGATGGCTGTGAAAGCTCAGGAGAGGGAAGGTCCATTTCTATTGGGCTGAAAGGTCTCCACCCTGTGGCAATAAAAAGAAGTGCAGCTGGGACCTGAGTACTCAGTGGGCTGAGCCAAGGCACAGGTGACCAAAAAGCAAATGAAAGGTGCTGGTAATAGCAAGCAGCCTCAAAGGCACCTAAGGAGATGGCTGGAGAGTGAATTTGTCAATGTGGGAAGCACACCTGAACGTGATATCAGTAACCCTGCAGAGCAAGGCTAAAGAGTCTGTTAAGTTTTCAGCAGGAAGGAAACCATGAAGACCACTCAGAATGCTGCTCCGTGCTGTCACTGCAGGAGGCCACTGTTATTCCTTTCATTGCCACCCCTGCATGCTTCCTTACTCCCCTAAATGCCTCTAACCGCTGGAGCAAGGCCTCAACTCCCTTTTTGTTCAGGATGCCGGTTTTTGTTTTCACATGTCTAGGGACATCAAGAACATCATTCGTGAAGAAGAAAAAATCCATTAAAAAGACAGGAAAATAAAGAAAAGACCAAAGTGGATGCCAGAAGAGACAGAAACCTGCTCTTAATCGAAGATTAGTTAAAGTAAACGAAAGAAATCATGAAGTCAAAGAACTGAAGAAGCTTAAGAAGACAAAGACAAATAATATAATGATGTATAAAATAATAAACATATATAATAAACAATATAATCAAACAATAATTAATATATAATAAAATAATAATAGAATTACATTCAAAGATTTAGAATTAGAAAAAACCCAAAAGGTTTTAAGGCTCAGCATACCTTAAGTTGAAAGAACTCAAGAAAATATTCCAACTATGTATTGCATTGGGCAAATTTGCTGCAAAACACCTCTTTGAAGGGCTAAAAAGCAATGATGTTCTTTTGAAGGTTAAGGGAAGCCTTACCCAAGCCATAGTATATTCAGTTGCTTCAGACACAGGTGAAAGCTCAACAGTGAATCAGGAAGACTGAAGAACAATTGGTGTGTTGGGATTTTAGTGTTGGCAAAGAATATGAAATACCCCACAGGCTGCCAGAACATGCTCTCACCCACTGCCACGGAGGGTGATTCTGACTCACAGAGACCTTGTTCTATGATTCTCAAGGCTTTGCATAGCCCTATGGGGGCAGACAGCGTCACTTCTGGTGTATTTGAACTCCTGGTTTTTAGATTAGCACTGCCAGAAGCACAAAACAAAAAGTTCTTTTAGAAGTACAGTCAAAATGTTCCTTAGAACTGAGGGTGGCAAGACTGTATCTCGCATACATTGGACTTGTTATCAGGAGGCACGAGACCCTGGAGGAGGGCATCATGGTTAGCCAGGCAGAGGGGAAACAAACCAGAAGTCCCTCACCAGATGAACTGACGCAGTGGATGCAAGAATTGGCTCAAATATAACAATAATTATGAGTATGGTACAGGACTGGCCAGTGTTTCTTTTGTACATATGAGGGCTACCTCAAAAATTTGTAATTATTTTTTCAAAACTATGTATTTAATTTTTTTAGAAAACAAATGTATCACATTCAAAGTAACCCCCATTACCCTTAATATATTTGTCAAATCTGCTATTCCATACTTGGAACATTTTTCAGACTCATCTGTTTGGATGGCTGACAACACCTCCCTCATTTTTTGTTCACCTGTTCAATTTTGTCAAATCACTCTCCTCTCACATCCTCTTCATTCATGGAAACAAAAAGAAGTCACACAGAGTGAATTCAGGTTAGTAAGGTGTATGGGGCAAGAGAGGGATGCTATTCGCCCCCCCCCCCCAAACCCAGCATACTGAGATGGCTACATGAGCAGGTGCATTGCTGTGGTGACAAAACCAGTCCCCACTCTACCATAATTCAGGCCTTTTTTGGTCACACCCTGCTATGCAATCTTTTCAGAACCTCTAAATAGAAAGCTTGATTAACAGTCTGATCTGGTGGAATGAACTCCAAATGCACCATTCCCCTCATATAAAAAATCCCAAATGAGCATCATCTTGATCTTTTATTTAACTTGATGTGCTTTTGGGGGGACAAGGTGACGATGGCCTCTTCCACTGGCTTGATTGATGTTTGCTTTTGGGGTCATAAGCATAGTGCCTTGTCTTGTCACCAGTAATGGCCTTGGGAAAAAAGTTTGGATCGCTTTCGAGCTGTTCTTTCAATCCACAGCATGTTTCTACTGGACACTCTCTTTCCTGGTCAGTCAGAACTCAATGCACAAATTCGTAGCAATCCTTCTCAGTCCCAAATCTTCTATTAAAATTTGCTGACCAGAGCTCCAAGATAGTCCATATAACTTCCCCATCTCTTCAATGGTCTGTCGTCGGTCTTTGAGCACAAGAGAACGATTGCATTGACATTTTTGTCTGCTCAGGAAGATGATGGACGTCATCAATCAGTACTTCACCTTTGTTGAAATGAGAAAAACACTCATACACTTGAGTTTTTCTCATAGTTCCATCCTTGAAAGCTGTGTTCAGCATCACAACAGTTTCTGTGTCAGGCAACAAATTTCACAACTGCACACTGTTCTCTTAAATCAGCCATTACAAATATGAGGTTAGAGCTAAACTGGTTTTATGAAAAATTGTACTGTGTCCAGAGAGAACCTTCTCAGGCAATGCCACTGGGTGCACTAAATCAGATTGTGTGGCTTGATGCTTGCCTAGCAGGAAACAATGCACACTACGAAAGCTCTGACCAGTAGAGCTTTTTCCACTTTGGGGGGGTACCCCACATATAGTCATGATGAATCAGCACCAACTCAACGGCCCATAACCATAATACCATTAAGCATATACAGTCATTATCGGTCACAGCTTAAAGAAGGTCTAAGAAGCTGTGTTATTGGAGATGAAATCAGAATGGGAAAGACCCAGTCACCCGACCAAACCATAAATTTATATTTGTTGTTATTTGAGTTAATTCCAACTCACATCCATCCTATGGAAGAGAGTAGAATTGCCTCTGTGGCTTTCTGAGACTGTAACTATATAAAAGTAGAAAGCCTTGTGTTTCTCCCAAGAAATTGTTGGCACCTTCCCAGCCTCCAGCTCATGACATCATCAATGCCCTGCGTAGCGGTGAGGTGGGAGTGAGCACAGTGTGCACTGGTAAGGAGAGACGGTTTGTTGATTGGAGCATAGCTGGCCAGGGCACCCTGGACTGAGATGACGTCAGCACATGGGTGGAGACCAGATCCTTAAGGCCTCGCAGATTCTGGCAAAGGGTTAGGAATTATTTGAAGTAGAAAGGATGGCCAACAAGGATGCTAAGTAGAAGCATACCATGATCACATACGCGGTCTGAAACGATTGCTGTGGCTGCAGTTTGGAACACACCGTGTAGGAAAGCAGTGCTTAAATTCCAACACTGTCGTGAAAACGATGCTAAGTTCAACTGGGGGGAGTGATAAGAAGATGGTGCCAAGACCAGTGGAGAGGTTCAGGACACACTGTAGAGGTAGAAATTAGAGATCTGGTGGTGTTCAGGAGACAGTGGATGAAGAATTTGAAGACATCAAGGATAAGACTTACATATTTATCTTGAGCAATTAGGTGGATAAGACTACAAAGTTATAAAAGGTTGGCATGCTTTGGGTTTTATGGGAGGATAGGGTATTTTTAATAGGCGGCAAAAAGTCAGCTTTGATATTTTGTGTTTGAGACATCTCTGAGGCAACAATATGGAAAAAACAAATAATCAATGGATATAAGAATCTGGAGTGCTGAGAACCAGTAAAGATATACAAATTATCAATACAATCTCCTTCACAATGTGTAGCTATTTGTGTTAAAACCATATGAACATGAGAAGGTTAAGAAAATCTATACACCAACCTGTTGTTGCAAGCTCCTGTAATAAGTCTGTATTTGTTTGCCAGGCAAGATTTTGGACATTTTTGTGGTAACATGTAAGGCAGGCATCCAGATATATTTGCGATTGTGTTCAGAAGTTCTGCTGACACAATATCTGGGGAAAAAGTAAATAAACCAGAAACACTCTATTTGTAATAACCAATCTACCTACTAATGCAGCATTTCTAATGTCCCAGAAGTTGTTCCAACAATCTGATTGTGTAAAATGGCTTGCTAAGTCAAATTAATTTATATATTTAACAATAACTTTTCTAGAACAAGTGAGCAGGCAGAATAGCACACCAATGATAATATATCTGACTCACATGAAGCTGTTCTTTTGAAGGTAAAAAAAAAAAAGGTTCAACTTGGAAATACCATTTGGTTTAACCTAATATTGAAAAGAGATGTTTTATATATGTCTTATAAGAATGACTGTGGGGTATAAAAGCAGAACTTATCTTTGTTTGTTCAATTAAAACTTCGACAAAAATGTCCATACATCCAGTGTTTCCTTCCATTGAACATAGAGGATCCCTATGAACTGGAATAAACTTGATAGCAGCTAATAACCACAAGTGTTTGCCTAACTCAATGTATTGTATATCTGAATTATAAATCACAAGTTGTATGCTAAATGCCTTTGTAATTAAGTTTGAGAAACACAATACATGCAAGTAAATGTGAAATAAATGGAAGGATTTTCTTTTGAAATGTAAAATATGATAATTATTTTATATGTATGAAGCACAATCATTCTTCTGAGGAAAATTTTCCCTTTCTCTATAAATCAATGATTTTCTCAATTCCCTTGAGTTTTCTTATGGCCAGCAATGTGGGGTTTTTCCTTTTCTTTTTGTGGGTAATGCACGTTAGCTTTGTGATCATTCTGGGGAAAAAAAGTACTCAAAAAAATAAATAAATAAAAAGCACTCAAAGAGCCCTGAACATGAGTGATATAACCAAATAATCTACTTCTCAGGGTTAGTGCCAGTTCTCATTTGGCATGTCAGTCAACTGGCTTGGACCCCCCTTTATAGCAATCGCAAAACGAAAACACTTGTAACTAGCTATAGCTCCAATTCTCAGAAAACTAAGAATACATATTCTATATCCCCGCCCCCCAGGCCACCGCACACCTAAAAGTTCCATGAAGAAAGCAGAAGTCACCAGTGAGTCTACCTGCCAAGCTCCTCATTTTTTGTCATATTGATTTTGGGTTCTTTTTTTGGCAATTCTTTCCAGATTAGGGCCCCAGAAAACCATAATATATAGATTCCTGCCAATTTTGTTCCTAGTTATATGTTTTTCAAGAAATGAAAGAAAGGGTTTCTTTATTATCTCTTCCTAGAAAGAATCACTCTTTTTGGGTCCGAGACAGGTTCTTTAAGTCTCAAGACATACTGCAACCACTTTGATTACTCTGATGTCAGAGACATTGAAATATCTACGAAGGGGAAATAAGCCAGAAGAAATGCACTCCATCTTGAAATTGCAGAGAAAGTAAAATAAGATACTTCATGACAGCCAAATGCTCAAGCATAGGCTCAACTTTAAAAAATAATAACCAGTAAAAATAAAGAGCAATAGTATCCTAGCTAAATTAAGGAGCAACCTGGAAAGAGAGTCCTAAGTTAGTTTTAGTTATTGCCAGGTAGTGGAATGATGGGCAACCCTGGGGGCACAGTGGTTAGACCCTCGGGTGCTGACCGTTCTGAAGGTGAGAGAGGGGGTAGTTTATTTTAATAAAGTTTACAGCTTTGGAAACTCGATGGGCTGTTCTGCTTTGTCCTGTCGGGTTGTTGTGCGCCAGAATCAACTCATCGAGAATGGGATAACAGGATTACTTTGGATCATTTTACTCTTTCACATGATACAGTTCGTAAACGGGCTACTTCTGTAAGGGAAATAGAAAGCAATTAAGGCCTTGAGTTCTGTAGATGACCCGGATCCAAATACAGCAGCCTGATTCCCAAATCGCCTAAGCCCACAGACCTGCGCAATGAGAACAGTGATTCTAGGGTACTGACCAGAGCACTATGGGGACCATTATCTATTGAAAGCAGAGGCGGTTTCCATTGCAGTCCTGGTGTATGCTGTGATCAGAAAGCAGACTAATAGTTCCTAGAAACATGTTTAACTGCATTGCTTGAAACAAAACAATGTTTGCGATGAATCTTTGATTGTCAGAAAAATCAATGAAATGTAAGTGTCCTGGATCCGAGAATTCTGGTTAATCTTGCTTTAGTTGTGTCTGTCTTATTCTAAGGCTAAGGTAATCAATAACAAATGAATGTAGAGCTAATTAGGAGGAAGAACTGGAGACCAAGTAGCTCTTGGCACAACCCTGGTGGGGGGGGGGGGGTGCGGGGCAGGGGCGAAGCTGTAAAAATTCAACCTATAAAATCAAACAACAAAAAGCCTGGCATGCTGTCTATAACAGACAAGTATACCTTATGATTCCAGTGATTATCAACACAAATATCTTATATGGTAGAGCACTTTAGATTTATCCGACGCGCTCTTCATTTTTATGTTAGTATGTCCGTAGCCATCTGAGGGAGCAGGACTGGCATTATTCCTGTTTTAGAGATAAGGTGATTGATTCTGAAAGGCCGGAGGATGTGTACTAAGGCAAAGGTGAGTAAATAGGAGGGATGGGATATTTCTGGGACGCTCAAATCATATGCTGCCGACCACAAGAACGCTTTCTCAAAAAATGCAGATCAACACACATCTCAAATTTTAAGGAGGTAAACAGACTAGGGGAAAATCCCTGGCTTATTTTATAATGGGAGGTTAGTGTTTTGAACTAGTGTTCCAAATTTGAGTCTTGAATTAAAAGTAAAGAAATAGTTCTTTCCCAGACTAACAAAGAAAACGGGATGACTATTTCACGAGCATTTTAAAGAATCGATGTGTTATAGCGTGAATGATACTTCCGGGTGCTGTCATCCCTATGCAACCCCACCTTTGCCTCTGAACGACTTTAGGAGAGTGTTAACAGTGGTGGGATGCCTCTGCAAACTGGGCTGTCACTTCCCAGGGCAGGGTGAGGGCTCTCAGGAGGCCTGTCCCCAGGGCAGGGTGAGGGCTCTCAGTAGGCGTGTCCCCAGGGCAGGGTGAGGGCTCTCAGGAGGCATGCTTACCAGTTGGAAGCTGTGTTTGCTTAGGTGTCTGGTAGGCCTTTCTGTTCATGGCTTGTATTGAAGTGTCCATGATCTCTGCGGCTTGGGAAATCGCTCGGCTAGTTGGTTCCGGGAGCTTAGAAAAAGATAGAAGCTGCGCTGGAGAATTTACTTCCCTTTTCCTTATGTTTCTATGGCATAGAGAAAAAAGCATAAAACAAATAACGATTGAATGGTAGCTTGGGTAACTAATTAACATATTCCTTACACAGACATTTACTGAGTAACTACTGTGTACCGGGCATTATGGTAAACACAGTCGGGTATACAAAGATATATCAGATACAGACCCTGCCACAGAGATAATATACTTAATAAGATTAATATGATATGAATATAAAAGGGAAAAACCAACAATTAAAAATTAAGGAAAATTTGTCATTTAAAGAACTTTCACCACCTAACACCCTCAAAGATAACTCAATTCAAAAAATCAGAAAGTAACAAGTGTTGGGGGTATCTGGTGAGATAGGAACTCTCATCCACTGCTGGTGGACATGCAGGTATGTACATCCACTATGAAAATCGATCTGGCGATATCTAAAATGGATGGAATTGAGCTACCATATGACCCAGCAACCCCCGCACTGGGCATATACCCAGAAGAGGCAAGAAACAAACCACGGCCAGACATCTGTGCTCCAGTGTTCATCATGGCTCAGTTCACAATTGCAAGGAGTTGGAAACAACCCAAATTTCCATCAACAGATGAATGGATTAAAAAACCATGGCATATATGTACAAGGAAGTACTATGCATCACTAAAAAGTAGTGATGAACATGTGAAGCACATTGCTGCATGGAAGAAATGGAGGAAATCAGGCTAAGCAAAGTAAGTCAAGCACAAAAGGATCAGTACAGCATGAGTCCACTGAGGTAAGCTTAAAAAAAATTCAAAAGGGGCATAAGGAAAAAGCTAATGTATACAAACATTCCAGGGTTGAGGTCCAGGTAGTATGGCAGGGGCCAGACCAAATCCAGGGGTACATATGGTAGCCAACTAAAAAGGAGGAGGGGGGGGAAGTGAGAGAGAAATGGGTATGGGGGGAACAGGGCATTAACCACCCTAGGGGTATTGCTTATATCTCCACAAGGAAAGAGGGACCAGACTTCAGCCCAGTGCTCCAAGATGTGAATGCAACACGCTGGCATGAAGCAGGGAATCAGTAGAGAGGTCTGAGGGGCTGGCCCAAATCCCAACTAAGTGGACAGTCACACCCCCTACCCCCAGAAGAATTTACTTCAGAGGACAACACTGAAGCTACAACTCAGGGAGAGGGACATGTCTGATCAGAGCACATGGGAGCAGATGAAGGGGGAGGAAGAGAGAGTTGAGCACACTCTGGCCCACCAAGCCCTGAGGATGATATTCCTGCTCAGAGTAGTCAATGCAATGAGAGGACCATATGGCTGGCCCCACTACAAGACACGACATCCCTTACTGACCCATAGCCCTACAGGGACAACACTGGAGAGAGTGGGGGAATTTGTGCCTAATCTGACTCCACCACACTGAGACAAAACACTAAGGGCATGCAACAGAACAGCAAGGGGAGCAGAGCAAGGAAGTCCTGAGGGAGTACCAAAA